ATCCCTCCCCCCAATAGTAATAATGAAATTTTCTGATTCAAACAGCAACAATCACAAATCACAAATCATTTTGTTATTTGTCGATTGCCTCGAGCAGGCCCCAGTAACGTCTCCTTCATCCTAGCCCTGAGATTATATTCAAGGCTCTTTAGGAGAATGAGACCCATCATTGTTACTGGTATTTGGCATATTGGGTACGCCAAGGGGAGTTTGCCAGACTCTGCCCTGTGGGCAGGCTACATTCGGTAACCTGCCAGTTTGTCCAAAGTAGGAATGAGACAGCAACAATATATTACAAATTTACAAATCTATCAATTCTTAAATGTTTATTACAGTAACATTTCTAAGAATGAAAAGCATAAAACTTATCAACTCTCTGTGCTTCTTCATATCTAATAATTAAAACTTAACATCAACTCAGGTGGGTATTAGGTATTCTAAACCAGTTTGCGACCCCACCTAGGGTCGTGTGAGGGGGTTGAAAACATTTGACAACAGTGAAAAGCTTCTGAGTATATAATGACCAAAAGTTAATTTAAAATCAACCCTGAAATGAATCCAAGATGCTTCTTCTGATAGCATTCTTGCTGCTTTTCTTGGGTTTAAAAGTGTTGCCAGTAGAAAAGGTTTAAAAGTCCTTTCGTAAAGTACCAGCAAAAGAAAAATCTCTTAAAAAAAAAGAAAAAGAGTATCTCTTTTATCAATGCGCAAGGCCTGGCAATGCATGTCTTCTGCATAATATTTGCAAAAATTTACTTCAATTTTATAAAATATTCTATCTACTGGGTTGGAAAGAATGTTCAAGTGGTATTCATGTGCCAGATAGTAAGTTTAATGCCTATCTCTGCATGACCCATGCCCCTCCTGCTCTGAAGAAACCTTTGAGTACAGACTCTAAAAGAAAATTTTTTTTCTATTAGTGCAGCTACCATGTAAGACCCCTCCAAACGTACACCAAGTTAAACAGTGTTCATTAACTTGGGAGGCCCAACATAACAATTCAGCATTATGTACACCTTCAACCATGGTCAAGCATTACTGTCAAAAAAAATCATAATAAAACTATTTTCTTACAGATACAAAGTGTGTGGCATATTTCACTGAAGAAAAAAAAACACCCAAAAACCTCAAAACAAAACCCACTCAATTTTTGATACTTAATGAGAACGAAAAACAATAGCAAGTAAGCTGTAGCAAGGCTATGGCCATAGTGAATGAATTCTAAAGACTTAATTAACCTCAATTCTGCATTAAAAAGTTCAACTGTTGTTTGCCAAATAGCACAATGAAAATGAACAGCAACAATAGAAACTAGATCTTAAAAACAAAGATCAGCTAAATAAAATGTAAAGGATATTGTAATTTACCACTGTAGTATGTGGTATAACCACATTTATCCTACAGAATCCATTTAAAATAAATTCCCCAACTACAGGATTTTAAATAAAGAACCGTTCTGAATTAGATATCCAATTTACCACCTCACAAATGACTAGGTGCCAACTACACTTATTTACTATAGAAAGGAAAACTGCCATTATATTTTTAACAGAACACATTTTAAGGCTGTAACAACCCTCTGTGTGTAAATTATATATGAAATAACAAGTTAGTGATAATATACATAGTGCGTGTTAGGCACATGCTAGAGGCTCTCCAAACTCCATTTCTAATCCTCACCACTCTTAAGTTAAGCACTGTCACTCCCAATTTATAGATGAGAAAACTGAGAGGCTCACAGAAGTGTCCCTCAGCTAATGAGAGAATGTCGACATCTACATTTCATCAGTTCTTTAATAAGTACATGATATCTAAACACATCCATACAAATTAACCAACAAATTTTAGAAAACACTGTGCATATGTACATACACTGAGTTTTTTGGTGAGGAGTTGAGGGGACTTACACGTTTATCTGTTTTTGTTTCGGCCACACGCAGACTGGGAATACTCCCAGCCTAGGAGACACAATTCAAAGCATGTTCCCTAACCCTTTGAGCAGTCTCCCTGAGAGTTTCATTTTGAAATTTGCATGCAGATTCTTATTTCTTCTAGGTCCTGAACCTACGGCTCTTGAGAACTCTGTATCTAGGTGTATTTGTTATAGAATACGGATAAGCATTATGTCAGAAATGTCTTCTCATACTGAAAGAAAAAAAAAAAAAGGCCTAATATTCAAGACTTGGCTTTCCTCAGCAGCCAAGTTTATTCTGGTAACAAGTCTCAGAATCGGGCCCAGAATTTTATCTTTGATTTTTGACAAGTCTACTGTTACAGGTTAGGTTATAGAATCTATAAAAAAACATTACCCCCCCCCACCCCCACCCATCAAAAGCAAGGAGTTAAAAGAGGTGCACTCAGTGTGCTGGAAGAAGCATTCGCTCTAAAAAAAAAACGGTACAGGAAGACAAAGTTTGTGAGACCGAGGGGCAGGCGATTAATCCAGCCCTACTGCTCATCCTACTAAATGAAATTTAGGCAGTGTCTCCAGGGTAAGCAGATGGGCGGCTACTTAAGACTTCAATCATCTTTTCATTACTCAAAAAGTTTTCACAGGGCGGCAGTACAGCAGGTAGGCTAACTTGCCCTGCACACGTGGCTGAGCCAGGTTCGAACCCGGGGGACCCCACTTGGTCTCCAAGCCCCGCCAGGAGGGATCCCTCAGCAACCGTTGGGAGTAAGCCCTGAGCACCGCTGGGTGTGGCCCAACCAGACCCCCAAAAAGAGAAGGAAAAAAATTAAAATCACATAAAAAAAAAAGAAAAGTTCCGGTAACCGATGACAAGCTTGAGAGCAAACTATTTCTTCAGAATCACGAACAAGCCAATGAGACTCTTGGAGGTCTCTGCCTTTGGACACCCACCCATACCATGGGGTTGGGTGTGTGTGTGGGGGGGGAGGGGGGTCTTTTAAGAAAAATAACACCGGTTCTTCCGTTAGCCTTACCCTTGCAAAAACGCCCGTTTTCACTGTCAACTCTGAGGACCCGCTACCCACCACACTTATTCCCGGGGCCAGGGCAGCGTCTTACAATCCAAATTCTGCGTAAAAAAAGCTCCGAGATCGGAGGCACTTCTCCTCTGAGCCCAGCAACAAAGTAAAGAGGACGACGACAATTCCAAACCAAGCCACCGAACCCACCCAGCTTGAAACGCACAAGGGGCCGGGGGCGCCTAAGTTCCAGGCGCCACAGAGTGTGTCAAACTGCTCCCCCGAGGTCCGTAGCGCTGTCATTCAACTTTCTTTTCACCAAGCCCATTGTGCTTTTCTTTTTTTTTTTTTTCCTCCCCTTTTTTCTTTTTTCTTTTTTTTTTTTTCCTGGCACCACAGGCATGAGATCCACCTCACGTTTGCACGAGCGGTTGGGAACGTCTCGTTACTTAAAAAAAAAAAAAAAATCATCATCATCAAAAATTCTCACGTCTGCAGGCCAAGGGGCGGCGGAGAGCGAGCGGGGGGCGCCGCCGCGGGCCCCCCGAGCGCGCGGAACGGCGCACGCCGCGCACCGGCTCTCCGGGCGGGCCTTGCGGCGGCGGCCGGTGCCCGCGTCCCCGGGGCTGCGAGGGCAGCCGCAGCGGCCATGGCAGGGGCTCGGGCACCTTTCCCCGGCCTCCCCCGCTAGGCCTCGAGGGGGGCTGCTTTTCACGTGGCCCCCGGCTGGGGGCGGTGGGCACCAGGCAGTGTCAGCCAGCCGCCGCCGCCGCACGGTGGGCCGGGCTGCTCGGCGCCCCCCTCGGAATCCCACCTCCCCGCGGGGCTGGCACCGCCGCCCCTCGGCGGGGGAGCCCGGCGGGCGCGGCGAAGGCCACCTTCTCTCACCCTCACATCTCTCGCCCCCTGCCAGTCTCCTCCGTTAGCGCTACCGGTTGGCCGGCGGGGGAGGGGAACGGGGCGCGTTATTCCCGGGGAGCTGGGAGGGGGCAGCGGAGAGGGCATCTCTTACCCGCGTTACTGAGGAGGAGGAGGAGGAGGAGGAGGAGGCGGTCGGAGCGCGGCGCGGCGGGGCGACGGTGGGGCTGGGTGGGCGCAAAGAAGAGTCTTACGAAAGGGAATTAACCCCATCACCAGCCCGGACACCGGCTCCAGCGGCAGCCGCGGCTGGCAGAATCCCGCCCCTTCCCACCACGCACTGGCTCCGCCTCTCCGTTCTCTTTGAGAGGCCCTGAGCGAATCAGACGGGGGGCAGAGCTGGAGTGACGGGAGCACGATCCAGTCAGGTCTGGGCAGAACAGCCTTTCTCCACCCCCTTGTCCCCGCCCCGGCCGCGAGCGAGCAGTGCCAACTCTTGCTCCGCCCCCAGAGGCACAGGAGCCAATCGCTGACCAGGACCCTCCCTTGAAGGACGTAGAGGGCAACCAATGATCACACTCAGAGGACAGCCATTTTGCCCACTTGTAAAAGAGCCACCTTTTCCCACGAGTTGGAGCCGGAGGTGGTGGAGTTTGGGGGCAGTTTTTACTGCCCTGGAGATGTTGGAAAGACAGCCGTATTTCTTCAGAAAGTATTGTTAGTGCTTTGTACGAGTAAAGAAAAATTTTCATCTTCCATGTCGGGGGAAGCGAGAAATACTGTTTCAGGGATTAGCTCCTCCCCTTAGCGGTAACGGGTTCTAAGCCCAACACCTGGTTTCTCCAGCCTCAGGGGGAAGAAGGCGGGGTGCTCGCCTCTCGCCCGAGACCGGACTACAACTCCCATCGTGCCTTGCGCCCGCCAGTCCTTTCCCCGCGGAGGCTCTCGGGAAATGTAGTTCCGCAGGCTTTCCCGCGCGATCCTGTTGGCCGTGGGGCAGTCACCAAATTTGAAAGGCCTTGGAGGGAGGGCGGAGAAATTGCAAAGCTCTGCTGAATCCTCACTACCCTCCCCGAAAAGAGAAGCCGAGAAGGAGTCGGAAGAGTTTTCTCGGAACACCGCCGAAATTTTAGTTTCCCCCCTCTTTCAGTTTGTCCTTTTGAAGTCACTTCCGCCTTGGGGCGGACGCTAGCTAAAACCTGTGGCGGGAGTTGGAGATTCTGCAGCGAATGCACCAGGTGTGGCGGTCTTACGAATGGCGTGGCGGGCTAGTCGGTGTTTTTTTTTTTTCCAATGAGAGATGGAACGTTAAGCGAGATTTAATTGCATTTGAAGCAAGAGTGGGTGAAAAGGGGTGGGGTAGTTTCCTAGTCGCTAAGATCCTCTGCACCCTTGATCTTCGGTCCCAAACTCCCATTTTGCTTGTCCTTTGACTTCTTGCACCGATGCATTTGCAGCGGGCTCCTCCAGTACCCTTTACTGCTGAGCTAGAAGCATGACTTCACACAGTTTTTTTTACTAAGGTCTGTTCTTTACACTTGAGCTCAGGATTGACACCTTAGTGATACCCCTTTACCGTTTTTTTTTTTCCAAAAAACACAAAACATAGATTAGACAAGTCAGGGTGTCGGTTATAATATTTTGATAAATAACGTCTTTCAAAAGACTTCAGAGCCCATAGCCTCCTATTTAGCGCATTAGGCCTTGGCTTATACTAAAGTTAACTGTGTTTGCTATTAGACTCTCCTTTCTGGTACCTGGGGAAACTGAATATAGGAGATACAGAAAGAGCTATCAGAAAAAGATCTCCCCTTCCCAAGCCTCCTGGCTTTCATTCTTAAACCCATTCCCTAGAGGAAAGTGAGTTAAATTTTTTTCTTTTCATTTCTAATGTTTTTTTTTGGGGCCACACCCGGCAATGCTCAGAGGTTACTCCCTGCTCTGCATTCAGATATCACACCTGGAGATGCTGAGGGGACCATAGGGCATGCCAGAGATCAAACCCTGGCCCCGTGCAAGGCAAACACCCTGCCCGCTGTACTATCACTATCGCTCCAGCCCTCTAAAACTGATTGTTTTTCTTATAGCTTAACCAGAGACTCGTTCTTTATAAATCATGTTGTAAATATTACGGGATACCGAATTAAGCACTATACCAAACACTGAGGAAGGACTCCCAAAAGGAAGGTTTTTCTATGTAAAAAGAGCCAGGAAAATAGCCAAACAAAATGGTCTGATTGCTCACTTTCCTAATTTTTCTAAGCTATGGTCTTTGTTACTCATACTTTGTGCTTTTACTTGGATTCTTTAAACTTTTTTTGGCCTGTGCATTTACTTTAATACTTATTTTAATGCTTTATTTTATTTTAATACTTTAATACTTATTTTCTCTATTTTTAAATGAAGTACTAATAAGTCAGTGTCAGATGGTTATGTTGTTTATGCACTAGAGACATGATGAATTTCATAATATAACTTTTCTATAAACCATTCTTTTCATCCAATGTTGTAGAATGGGTCTTTAATGCAATTGGAATTTTCAGTAAGAGTTTATTTGTATGATATTCTATAGATTTTTAGTTATTTTGGTTGGCTCTCTTAATAAATCAAGTATGTATATTTACACACACAGAGAAATGCTTACTATCATGTGATTGAGGTTATCACTCAGCCAACGAAGATGTATGTGTTTTAAAAGTGTCCCCCCTCCACCCCAACTATGTTACCTGAGCTTTTACTTGCAGAAATTGGGCTGTGGAGATAAACTAGATGTTAAGGCCCTGCCTGTTTTGTATACTTTGGAGCTGAGAGCTGAGAGCTGTATCAGGTTTATCTCATTCCTAATTTCAGTTTTTTCCCTATTTTTTTTTATTTTTGGGGACACGCCCTGTGGGGATGGGGGAAGGCTGAGAAGCTAGATTCTGGCAGTGCTTGGAACTGAACCCAGACTACCTAGGAGTAAAGCATGAACTCTTTTTTTTTTTTTTTTTTGCTTTTTGGGTCACACCTGGCAATGTTTAGGGGTTACTCCTGGCTCTGCACTCAGGAATTACTCCTGGCGGTGCTCAGGGGACCATGTGGGATGCTGGGAATCAACACCCTACCCACTGTCCTATCGCTCCAGCCCCTGAACTCGTCTTTTAAGCTCTCCAGCTCCACATTAATCATTTCTCATCTTGCTTCTCAAATATTTGTTATTGCCAACTATGTGCACAGACACTGTGAGAGGAGAGTATAAAATTCCATCCCAGAATTCAGGAACCAATGGTAATAATCTCTTCCTCTTTAGAATCATCTTTTGCATCACGATTACACGATCACGATCATCCTGTTGTTTGTCGATTGCCTCGAGCAGGCACCAGTAACGTCTCCTTTGTCCTAGCCCTGAGATTTTAAAAAATGCCATATTTAAGGCTCTTTCAGCGTTAGGAGAATATAAGACCCATCATTTCTACTGGTATTTGGCATATTGGGTACGCCACGGAGAGTTTGCCAGACTCTGCCGTGTGGGCAGGTTACATTTAGTAGCCTGCCAGGTTGTCCAAAGTAAGAATGAGATAATTATCTCATCTGTTGCATGTGTATCATAATTACATGTTATGTTTAAAAGTGCAGGAAAATGTAAAAGAAAGTAAAGATCATCTGTAAGATCCTATTACCCAGAGATACCATTGTTTTGCTGTGATAGGTTTTCTTATAATGATCTCTCTTATAGATGCACACTTGTATATGGGTTTTATCATACTCTTTGATCTTTCCTAGACTTTTAATATCAGTGATATAATGTGGATATTAATCTGTCTTATGGTTAACAGGTATTTTCTAGTATATATCTAAGATAATCAGTTCCTAAGTGATAAATATTTACTTGACTTTCTTTATTTGTTTTGTTTTTGTTTCTTTATTTTTGTTTTGGGTGCACCCAGCAGTGTTCAGGGCTCTGTAGTTATTGGTCACTCCTGGCTGTGTGGTACAGTAGGGACCATATGGGGTACTGAGGATCGAATCTCTAGGTTTGCCACATGCAAAGCAAGCATCTTGCCCATTGTACTGTCTCTATGGCCCCTTACATTATTTTCATTTCACTTTTTCTGCTGTTGTAAAATATAAAGCTACCATTTTAACTATTTTTTAGGTGTATAGTGCAGTCCTATTAACTGTATATACATTGTCATGCAACGAACCTCATTTTATCTTACAAAACAGAAATTCTGTACCTACGTAACTCCCCCATTCACCTCTCTCCATCCCTGCCAACCTGGCTACTTAACCACCTCATATAAGTGGAATCACTCACTATTTGTTTCTCTGCAGCTAGCTTATTTAGCATCATGCAAGCATGGTTTAGCATTTGACACAATTTCTTTTATTTTCTGTTCTCCCCTGTGACTGGGAATCAAAAAAACAGATAACTGAGTCATTTTCTGGGTCCTTTCTCTGGGGATTATGGTGGGCCGAGGCCTAAGGGATAATGCAGTGGGTAGGGCATTTGCCTTATATGCTCTGATCAAGGTACATGCTCATGACACTATATGGTCTACTGAGCCCCATCCGGAATGATTACTGAGCTTATAGGCCAAGTATACGACCTGAACACCGCCTGGTATATCCCCAAAACAAAACAAACAAAGAAAACAATGGACTATTGTGATTGCCTCAGTTTATGTGGCAACACCTGGGTTTGAGCTGTTGACCTCCCACTTCCCAGGAAAGCACTTAAAGCCATTGAGTCACCTTCTGGGTCCCCAGTATCTCCCTCCTTAAAAAAAAAAAATGATTAGTTTTGTACTAGAGCATGTACAACCTTTGCCTTGCAAGTGTCCCATGGGGGTTTATTTCTTGCACCCCATATGGTCCCCCAAGCAATGCCAGGAGTAATTCCTAAATACAGAGCCAGAAGTAACTCTTGAGCATTGTTGGGAGTGGCCTCGACCCTCTCCTCCATCCCCCCACAAACAGAACAACACCCTGAGTAATTTATAGTATGTATCTCTCATGACTATTTATATGCTGATGGACGTTTAGATTGTTTTCATCACTTGGTCATTTTCATTAGTATTTCAATAAACATGGGTATGCGATTAGCAACAGTGTATAGTGCTCAGGGACTATTAGTGATTTTAATAAGCCTGACAAGCTACCCCTGACATATTCGATGTGCCAAACACAGTAACAAGTGTCACAATGGAGACGTTACTGGGCTCGCTCAAGCAAATTGATGAATAGCGGGAGGACAGTGACAGTTCTTTAGCAGTGCTTATGTGCTCAGAATTTTCTGAAATTTTGTATTTTTATAATATGTTTTTTTTTTGTCTCCTTAGAATATACTTGTAGGGGGCCAGAGTGGTAGTACAGCAGGTAGGGTGCTTGCCTTGTACTCAACCAACTCAGGTTTGATCCCTGGCATCCCATTTGGTCCCCTGAGCACTGCCAGGAGTGATCACTGGGTAGTGTAGAGCCAGGAGCACCCTGAGTATCACTGGATGTGCCCCCAAACTAAAATACTGATAATAATAACAATAATAAAAATACATTTGTTTCTCAATCTTTAAGTTTCAACCTAAGAATTACATCAAATATTTAAGTAATACTTTTGATACATAGTAATTTCTTTTCCTTAGTGAAGACTTCATTGATTGCTTGGTGCCTTACACAATGGCAACACTCTCACTCATGTATGATATCTTAAGTGTGCTTCTTTCACAGCTCTTATTTCAGGATGTTGCAATTATTGGTTTGCAACTTTTTATTTCCCTCCTAAACTGGACTGTAGTAATGAGGATACACTGGCACAAATTCATCTTAGTATACCCATACCTTCTGCAATGCCTCTCATGTAGTAGACACTCAATATCTATTTGTTGAAATGAAGGACTAAAAAAGGCACTGTTACATAATGGGAAAAAAAAACTCAGAATTTTAAATTAGGCTCTAATTTTAAATTAGAATTCTTATCTGAGTTTCAGGCTTAATATTACCCTAGGCTAACTGTGAAACTGTAAATTATTTAACATCTTGGATCTTCATTTTTCTTGTCCTTAATGTGAGGATACTCCTACTTACCTTTGTGAGTTGTTTTGAGAATTATAGATTTTCTAAAGTTTTCTACAGTAGTGCCTCAAAAAAAGAGATCACTCAATAAATGGGAGTTATTTTATTATTATTCTAATGGCAGCTGTCTATAGAATAAAAGCTTCTAGTATGCTTGCTTTGAAAATAATAAGATATTTAATATGGA